ATACTGATGCTTTAGCGACAAATCTAAATACATTCCCTTCTTAACTGAAATATCATTTCAGTTATCTCTCTGTCAGAAATGTTTCAGTAAAACCCATTGGAGGTTTCTTGTCTTCTGGGTCCTGACTGAGTCCATGCTGGTCTGACTGTCATGCTCATCCTCTTCCCTTTAGGTTTCACAAGCTGGAGAAGTGGAGGAAACCCTTCTATGACGTGCTCCAGGTCTACGAGAACGCTTCCGTGCTGCTGCCAGCTTTCTACAACACTCGCAACACGGACGTCTCGATCCGGGTCAAATACGTCCTGGATGATTTCGAATCTCAGCAAGCTGTTTATTACTTTCATCCCCAGTATCTCATCAACGTCTCACGCTACTGGCTCGGCCAAGGGGTGCGAGCCAAGCGGATCAGCACTGGACTGATCCTGGTGACTGCTGCCCTGGAGCTCTGCGAAGAGGTCCACCTTTTTGGCTTTTGGGCCTTCCCCATGAACCCCTCAGGGATTTTTATAACTCATCACTACTACGACAATGTGAAACCTCGCCCAGGTTTTCACGCTATGCCCTCAGAAATCTTCAACTTCCTCCACATGCACAGCAAGGGGATCCTGCGGGTCCACACGGGGACCTGTAGCTGCTGTTGACTGGGACACTTCTTCCTCTGACACAGAAGTGTAACAGAAACTCAGTGTGTGGGAGGTTTTATTACACCCTGAGATTATGCAATAATTGTTTGATATAAATTTCCTCAAGGCATTGCATCCCATAGGATCTAGGATACCAGCATCTTTCCTGCTAGCAGAGTTGGGTCCACAACAGTGTCAGAGAAGCAAAACTCCTCTGACCCTGGGGCATACACTGCCCTGGAAAGCAAGTCAGACAAGAAGCACATTTCCCATAGGTTTAGGGATAAACAGAGCACATTAATGTAGTTATCATTTCACTATGAAGAAAAGCACCAAACTTTTGAGGAGAATCAGTGATGGAGAATTTTAGCAGAGAGTGTATGACTTTATGTAGGTTTCTGGGTCATGTACCTTGGGTCATTGTCAGAGTTGACTGAAAGCACTGTTCTCTGGCATTTGTGTTTTTGAGAATACTCTTTAGCATTATAGGGAAGTATGTAACTCGAGGTCTTTGTTCTGTAATGTCACAAAGTATTGGTGAAAAATAGCGGGTAGATGTGATAGGAATAAACAAGATCACTTTATGAATTTTTTTTCAGTCAGGATAGAAAAGAATGTTAAACTCCCACTCACAGCAACTGATAACTGTGTTGATCATAGAGTGCAATAGTTTTGGAGTTTCTTTCTTCTTCCTTCTTATGTCTAATATATTTCAGGTCGTCTCTGCTGATTGTGTTTTCTTTCTCGTTGTCTGCAGTGCTTCCTTCTAGCTAATGCATGACCAGTCCAGTGACCATTTCAGCTTCAGATTGGAGTTCTTATTGAAGAAGCACTCCGTTGCACTTCTGCAAGCTGAGGCTTTTCTCAGGCTGAGTAGCAAGGAGATGACAGAGTTATATTTTCCGAGTTGACTTTTTTTTTTGTTGCTGTTCAAATATCACAGCATAATATAGAAAAAAGCATATCCTTTTTAAATTTTCTTAGAGACTTTTTATGAGTATCTGAATGTTCTTTCGCTGTTGTGCAGGTCGAGTTAAGTACTTTCAGGAATCTGTGATAAGTACTGGCAGGAAATGCAGTTAAAATGCAGTGAAGATGCTTTGTGGCTTGGATTATGATGCTTACTTTAAAACTATGCATCTCGAGATGCCAGATGTCTGTTGAGATGTTTATTGAGAATGTTATTAGGATAGTAAAGGGCTGGTGCATTCTTAAAAAAGTTAGCAATGTAACTCCATCAGTTATGCCAAGCTTATTTTTTCACTTGATACAGTTAAATTGGCAAGATCCTGATGGAGAAGAGATGCCAGATATTGCTGGAGTTTATTTTGGCTGCTGAAACACAGGGG